ATTTGCTGCTCGAGAAACATTTCTGATTATTATCAATGTTGCAAACAGTTGTGCTATTTAAGATTTTTGTGGAAACGGTAATACACATTTTTTTTACAATATTCATATGAAATATAACTTTTTTGTTATATTATAAGTGTATTTACTGTCATTTTCGATCAATTTAATGAATCCTTGATGAAGAAAAGTATTAATTTCTTTAAAACATTTTTTACTGATTATATAAATATATAATACGTGTAGGGAGTGTAGTTTTGTTTGACAGTGACTTTTCTGATTTAACTTAAGGATTATGGGTAGTGTAGTGTTTCCTCTAGGAATTTTAAACAAACTAATAAAACATTTTTTTCTGAACAGTAACCTTCTGATTTGTTGCGTCATATATCGCTGTTTAACTTTGAAAGGTTTGAATGTGCAATGAATGGGATTTTTATTACTCATTGGAGTCGAGGCAATGATCCTGATGTTGTGCACCTGTGAATGAACCATGATTAAACACATACCATCTGTTTGGCTTCCTCTCGTATCTCTGGCATGGACAGGATGCTGTATAAAGCTCCATTCACATAGTACCGAATCTATATTTGCAAACATGAACACAAACATGCAATGAACATTTGAAACTTTGCATCTGAAACACTTTCATCCACTACCAGCCAAAGCTTAAACACACATCTTAAAATCATTTTGAACTAAACGTATGGTTATACAAGTTTTGCACACAATTATGACACTTTGTTTCATATTTGATTAACTTTGCATTGTTAATTGAACTGAATTAAATCAGAACTGAACTAAAGTGATCTAAATAATGGCACTATTGTCTTCTGTAGAGCTGCTTTACAGCAGAACTTAAAATTTGTTTTTTGTAAATTGTTTTATATCTGATGAATTTTGTAACATTAACACTGTTATATTCTAGTTTATTACTGTGAATCTGCTTTGAAACAATCTGTATTATATAAAGCACCATATAAATAAAAATGACATTTGTGTACAAATTTTTTGTTTTGTTTTAATGGGAATAGGACTGAATATCAAAGGAAAATCAAGGAATTGTATTATTATGACTTACAATATTGTATTGCTCTATTTTATTTCTTACACAACTATTCAAAAGTGTGAGGGAAAAAACAAACAAACAACCAAAAAAATCATAGGATGTTATTTACAGTATGTAACATAAAGTGATTTTTGCTGCTCCTACTAATCGGCTGGAAGCTAATCAAAAAATGTGAGGATTTTTTGCAATTTTTTTTGTAAATAAAGTTGATAATCTTCGGGCTCAGATTACCCCAGTGACAACTATTTGTTCGACCTATATCCAAATAATTTTTTTTGAAATTTTAAGAGAAGGTTGTTTTATCACAACTTGTTCCATACTTAGATGCGAATGCTGTTATAGATATGTTCCAGTCGGGTTTTAGGTCCCTTCGTGGTACAGAATCTGCCCTTCTTAAGGTTTTTAACAATATTTTATTGGCAGGTAGTATTCTAGGAAGGTAGTCATACTTATTCTGCTTGATTTTACAGCCGCTGTTGATACCACTGATCATGGGATTTTATTGCAGTGATTGGAAGATGTTGTTGGTATTAAGGGTACTGCCTTAGATTGGTTAAAGTCATATTTAAAGGTTAGGTCTTTTTCGGTTTGAATTGGGAATCTGTGCTCTACATCAGCTAAATTACATAGTGGTGTGCCACAGGGTTCTTTACTTGGGCCTATTTTATTTTCATTGTATATGTGCCCATAAGGCTCAGTTTTTCGTGAATAAAATATTATGTATCATCTATATACAGATGATACTCAGTTATATATTCCAATTGATCCAAAAGGCTCCCAATCCTTTGATGAACTTGTACAGTGCTGGGTTTTTACCAATTCAGACTTATTTCTAAATTGAAACCTATTCTCTCCTTTAAAGACCTAGAAATGTGTTATCACACTATGTGTTATTGACTACTGTAATTCCTTATATATAGGTATTTCTCAGGGTCAATTATCTGCAAAATGCAGCGGCCAGACTTTTGACTCGTACAAAGACGAGAGAGAGTATTACCCCAGTATTGGTCTCCTTACACTGGTTGCCAGTAAATTTCAGAATCGCGTTTAAGGTTCTATTGATGGTTTTTAAAGTGTTGCATGGTATTGCACCAAAATATATTGCTATGCTAACCTTTTGATACCAAAATACAAGGCATATGAGATCTTCAAGTCAGATGATTCTTGATGTTCCCAAAACTAGATTAAAATCAAAGGGTGATAGGGCCATTTTCAGTGGTTGCTCCTCGCTTATGGAACTCTCTTCCATGCATATGAAATCTTCTGTGGATGATTTTAAGTCTAGTTTGAAGATGCATCTCTTTAGTATGGCTTTAAGATCTGATTAGAGTGTACAGGATTTAATTATGTTTGCGTAGATGTATGTAATTGTTTATGTTGTATTTATTATGCTGGAAAGCACTTTGGCCAACGCCAGCGGTTTTAAATGTGCTACAGAAATAAATTTGTATTGTACTGTATTGTATGCTTGACCACAGCTAAACGTTACATAAACTCCAGTTTCTTTGTTGTAACAATTGTTTTGCTCATTTCTAATTTACATAAAAAACCATTAAGTTTAACATTGTTTAATAGTTTAATATTATTAATAGTTGATTGCACTATTAAGTTTTAGTTTTTAAATTAATTAAAAAAATTTATGATAACAACAACAAAAAAAGATATTTTTTTATTTTTATAAAGAATTTTTAAAGAGATAATAAAATTTTTTTTTAAAAACTAGTTTTGAGGTGCTGAGCAAATTCATTAGGGAGTGTAGGCTTGATTCTCCATTTCAAACGCTTCACAAAGGGAGTGAAAGACAAACTTTTAAAATCCAAAGTTAACAAAAGCGTTCTTTTTTGAGAATCGTCTGACGTAAAAAGGACTAAGCTAATTGTCGCCTTCAGTATTCACTGTATGTCACTGTATTCAGGAAGGCGGAGAACAAACTCAAATAACACGCCTTGTCTGTGCATATAGCGGTTGAGCAATTACTGATTTACCTCATGGTTCTCATGTCCCAGGAGCTCCGTCAGGACTTTCAGGACATGCTTGGCCTCCTCTGCGCATTTCTTCTTTCCTGAAACGTAAGACATACTACAATAAACACTGCGCTGCTTATAGTACATTTCTGTTTACTTTAGAAAATCAAATTAAAAAGTGCTAACAAAGTAAACAGAGGATTCTGAGCAACAATTTAATTGTTTATACATATCTTTATTTCTTTGATAAGCATTGATTAAAAGATCCTTGTGGCGGTGTATCTGTTACCTTGAGTGCGCAGGCAGAGGTTCATGAGGAGGGAGATGGCATATTCAAGCGTGTAGTCAGACAGACAGTCGGAGTCGTGGAGCTCTTTGACCAACCAGCCAATCAGACCGTCTCTGATCATAGCAGATTGCTGTGCTCGCCTGCACACAGCAGAATATTTAGAAACACTAGGCATTTTTGAGGCGTTTAAAACATGCTGTGTTGGAAATCCTTTACCAAATTTGGTGTTCCCAGTCAAAAATTGCTTATAAATTTCTCATTGTGCTATATTATCACCAAATCTTGGATTCAAACTTCTTGTCAAGTTGTTCAGTTCTTTCAATTAGCACAGGTTTCGTATTTCTTTTTGGAACTGATTGATCCTATTGCGCTTATGCAAAGTATAAGTATAGTTTGAGCTTATGCGCTTATAGTTTTTGAGTGAAAAATGCATTATTTGGATAATTTTGGCAATATTCACTCAAAAACTGAGGTACATAAGCTC